GGGATTCCTGTGATTATGCAGCTCTCTGCTCTCCATCGGAGGTTAATGGAGGCTAAAACGAAAAGAACAAGCCTCCTCTGGATCCTTTTTACAGGCAATCAAACATGATTCATGCTCCGTGCATGATATTGGGGGGCAGCAGTTTCCTGCCACGGGGTGCACTGACCGAGGGTGGGGTGGGGTCGGAGGGTGGGGTAAACACTGGGGGTCAGGGGGAGCTGGGACAGGCCTTGTTAGGATGTTTTGGTTGGTTGGCGGTGGTCGTGGGCTCTGCAGTGCTGTTCTTCTATGTGTGTGTGTGTGTGTGTGTGTGTGTGTGTGTGTGTGTGTGTGTGTGTGTTCTCATTCTCAGTTATAGATATTGATTTATCCGAGCTTCTCTTCTTCTCTTGTGTAAGTCACACGCTCACTCAAAGAGACTCCTACTCAGTGTGAGCAACACAAAGCAGCATCGCACACTGAACGCAGCACATACACCACCAGCAAATCACAAACAAGGAGCCTGCAGTGCCTTTATAGACGCTGTGTGTGTGTATGTGTGTGTGTGTGTGTGTGTGTGATCGTCTGCAGGGACGGGGCTGATTATCTGAAGGCAGCTCTTTAAAGACTGTCTTCTCCTGCTTTCTGTCTCCTTTGTGTCTTTGTGTTGAGACACACACAGACTGTTACACACACACACACACACACACACACACACACACACACACACACACACACACACACAAAAACTAAAGGACAAATCTTGGCTCAGTGTGAAAATAGAGACACAAAGTTCTTTTGCAACATTAGAAACCTCATTCAAAACCTCACTGACATTTGAAATAATAATAATAATAATGATAATAATAATAATAATGATAATAATAATAATGATAATAATAATAATAATAATAATAATAATAATAATAATAATATCAAATCCAGCCTTGGAACAGAACCTTCTCTAGTATATTGTGTGGTTTAAATGAGTAGGTAAATTTACCTGGCCTGCAACAGCGAGGCCAGTTCCTTCCTGACTAACTGAGTAAGTGAGTGATCATAGTTCCACTATTGGTCAGCCAAATGCCATGTGACCTTGTTGGAGTTTCCTCATTGGCTGTTGCCCTTTCACAATGACTTTGCACAAACAGGTTCTATCAGGGAGTGTGGTTTTAAGAACCAAAAACCATCTCAGTGTAGTTTTACATCTCCTCTCTCAGGCTTCTCTCTGGAGCTCTAGTAACAACAGGTCAGTGAGCCAATCAGAAGAGAGGAGGCTCTGAGCCTCTCTTCTGATTGGCTGACTGTTTTCTGAGTGATCCAATAAAAATAAAGCAGATTTCAGGTAAAAACACTCAGAGAAACCAAATCCTGCAAGGTTTGGATGGTGGGTCCAGGTGGGCGGGGCTTGGTGACTGCTTTGTTGTGACATCACAAAGTTCCAGAAGTCCTGACGGCTGGTTTTAAGGCTCAGTTTCTGAATACAGGCTGTGTGCATTTCTCTGTGGACTGAGGCTTTGATACTTTCACAGTATTAATATAGAAGCTAGAGCTGATCTATAATCACACTACACATGGACACAGACCTTTACACTGGAGGAGCTTTAACACAGCTATTATTGCCGCAGCAAGAGTACTGTCTCATTTCCTGTTGCTGGGGTTTCTGTTGTTTATATGCTATTCAGATGTGCTAGCTTCTTTAGCTTAGCTGTTAGCGATGGCTTCTCTCTCTCCCTCCCTCTCTCTCTGACTCAGTCTGTGTTATGTTTAGCTATTCCTCTGCCTCCTTCAGTAATAATGATACGTGTAATAAATGTGGTGTATTGTAACAGAGGCGAGGCTCAGAGGAGTAGAAGTGCAGCTCCGCCTCCCTGCACACCACATCATGGTGGAGTTACTGTACCATAATTACCAGTTTCTCACCAGCTCTCACACCAAGCTGTAATTACAACAGAAACTCAGATCATTCTGAAAGCTCTGATAAATCCGACTTACTAACCACTCCACTGACTAACACAGACGTGCCTGAAAACCAAACAAACATGGACGCCTCACAACAGAGATGTGACACAACTTTACCGTGATAACGCAACAGTCCCGAGTGGTGGCGGTAAACTCCAGGTGAAGTTTTAAAAGAGTATTTCTGGTGAATATATGTGTTTTATAAACCTGATGTAAGCGCACATCATCACAGTGACGCCTGGTGCTGAAGCAACAGACAGGCAGCGAGAGGGGAAGTTAAATCACCTTCGTCCAGGCTTCACTCTCCTCTGCTCCGTCTTTGTTGTGTGGAGCCGCTCGCAGAGCAGAGGAGCTGTTTATTTACGAGTTTCAATCTCTGAGCGTGTTCACGCAGCGACACGGGTCGAGCCTGAAGAGGAAGACAAAGCCCGACAGAATCCGCCGCTGCACCGCCATTAACCACGAAGAGAGCGCGGGCGACGGACACGACTCCACATCAGACCAGAGAACACCGTCACAGCTGATGGATGTTCACAGTCTAAAGTATTAGGACAACACAAAGTTGAACTGCACAAGATTTTCAAATCAACAGTAAAATTTGACAATTATTCACTTAATAAAAACTCATTGTTGTGTGTGCGCCCTCATTACAAGACAATAATAAAATGAAAGAGACTCACTGCAGCTTGCTGGAGTCACCAGGTTACTACAAAACAACCACACACACCTGGACACACACCTGGACACACACCTGCTCGGTGATGTCATGAAATAGCGTTGGATCATGGGAGCTCAAATCAAACAGACCCAGTGATTCTAACTGTTAAAAACACTGAATGAAGCAGTTTCACATTTTAGCAAATTTGAAACTGTCTGATGGTCCATGAACTAACCATGTGTGACAAACACTTCTGTCAGAAAATAAAACCAAAGTTAAGCCTCAAAATTCTTTCCTCTTCCGTCTTATTTTAATTTGCTCTAAAAACCAAATAACTTAAACTCACAGTCTGTAACTTCTGCCTCTAGAAGTCTCTCAATCAAAACAATGACAAAAGACGGCGTCGGGTGATGTCGTGAAGAAGCGTGGGATCATGGGAGTTCAAATCAAACAGGCGCAGTGATTCTAACCGTTAATGAAGCAGCTTCACATTTAAAGTCAGAGTCTGAGCGACGCTGTACGGAGGACAGAGACTCAGGGAAGAGCTGCAGCTGAGACTGATGCTAACCTTTGTTCTGACTGTTTCTCTGATCACTCATGACCCAGACGTTCAGCAGGTTTTTACGAGCAGCTGAATGATCCTCAGAGTTTCCTCCTCTCCACAACAAACACACCAGGAGATTAAACCAGGAGAAACTCTGAATAAAGCAGTTTGACTTTAAACATCAGAGATTCAGCGACGCTTTTCGACAGACACGCTAACATTAACTCAGCTTTTTCTATCTGGTAACCTCAGACCCAGACGTCCGTGGAATAAAATCCAAATATAGAGTTAAAAAGGTGAAAAAGTGAATCTTAAAAATGTGACTTAAAGCTGGAAAAAAGTCCATTTTGAGACATTATTCATTTCTATCATTACTGTCATAACACGTCATGGTGTGGTGTGTTGAAGCTCCGCCTCACACACACACACACACACACACACACACACACACACACACACAGAGACACACACACACACACACACGCTTGTTTTCTCTCGAGCTGTGAGACCCTCAGAAGAATCACTGAACGCTGAAAACAACCTGATATTCACATGTAGCTTTGTAGTGACTGAAGATGTTCAGGCTGCAGATGAAGAAGATGAAGAAGATGAAGAAGAAGAAAGAAGAAGAAGCTCTGTGCCCTCGGCCTCGACCGCCCGGCTGCAAAATACTCACAACACTGAGAATGTGCAGCAGAGGAAGTGATTCAATGAGCCACAGCTTCAGGGGAATGAAGGAGAGGCAGGTCTGATAGAAACCACAGTGAGCAGCTGTTTGAGGAAATTACTCACTCCTTTAAAAAATGAAACGATATTCTTGTGAGGTGATTTCACAGATTTACATCTTCAGTAGAAACCAACGAGCTCAGAGCTGAGACCCACAGACAGAGGAAGTCAGAAAATGTGGAGTTTGATTTGTTGACAATATGAAACATATAGAATAAAGCCCGACCTATACTTTGAATATATTCATTGATCTATATATTCAAAGCTTTCACAACAGGCAGCTGCAGCTCCGCACCACATCACTTATCTGTTCACTGTCAGCCACATTCTTCACTCCTCAGCATTTTAAAAGATAAACGGAGGCTTGCAGAGGTTCAGGCAGAAGCTGGAGTCATTCCTCAGTCACATGTTCCTTGCATCCTCCAATCACGTGTCTCTGACCTGCAGGATTTCTCACGGTAGGTGGTCTTTACAAACCTTACACACCGAGGAGCTCTTCTTCCTCGCTGCTGCTGGATTTAAAAGAAAAGACGTGCAGCTGCTGCATCACAGCACATTTAATCTGACAGCAGCGTTTTCCTCTAAAACAGACCGTCACAAAAAAACATCACAATGCAGAACAAGCGATAAATACAGCAGCTACACCGCTGACACCCTGTTCTTCTCTTCAGCCCCCTGTTTTTCCCTCTCTCCACCTCTGAACTTCCTGTCCCTCGTTCTTCAACTCTCTCCTCAGAGAGCTTCACTTCCTGCCCCCATCGCTGGGTTCAACATATATTTATCCAGGGAAAGTCAACCAATCAGTCGCTGCCGCTTCCTCAAGGACACCTCGGCTGCACTCACAGCAGGAGGAGGGGGGAAGTGTTACTCATTCGCTTCCCAAGTTCAAGTGTCTCTAACCTTTAAAGCCAGTAGTTATCAATCAAACATGCAATTTTGACCCAAGTGTCTGCGAGATTTCTTTCCAATTAAACACTTGAGCAGCTGATTTCACTGATTACTTCCTCCTCTGGATAATAATCAGTGAAACAAGCTGCATCAAGCTGAAAAGTGTGAATAATAATAATAAAAAAAAAAACCACAGCAGGTCCCGATCACACCTGATTGGCTGCCGAAGGCCACACCGCTCACCTGCAGAGCGCGTCGGAGCGGCAGATGTGCCGGAGCTCCAGACAGGTGGGTTTGTGCCTCTCCTGGTGGGAGCAGGAGGGGACGATGGTGCGGCGGCGGCGCTCGGCACACGCCTGGTCGGGGCAGGAGCAGAACAGCAGCGGGTAACTCAGCTCCCAGGGTACCCGCTCGAAAAACTGACGCAGGGCCTGAGACACACAGAATAAAATAATCAACGAATGTCTTTTATATTTACACACTCAGGGGTCGTTCTCAGATCACAAACAAAATGATCCTGGCAAAAAAAACCTTTATTATTCATGATTTTAACATAAATTTTAGACAATTTTAGAGTGTTGTTAAGGTTGCTAGGCGACAGGAAGCAGCGTTTCAGTCAGTTCGAGATGAACCTTGTAACAGAATTTCCGATGATACAGGTAATAAATAGACTTTGATCAGAGTCATTTGTTGTCTGGCTGTGTGACAATAAATACAGTGATGAAACACACAAGTATCAATAATAACTAACCATTTCCTGTGACAGTGCAGCAGTGTTCCTATTGGCTGATTTAAGATGAAAGGTGATGACGCCTCTTCATGAAAAGTAATGACAGTGCTTTGCATTTAGCTTCATCAGGTCTGTGCTGCTGTGAAATGCAACACACTTCATTTTGTTTGATTTGTTTTTAATGTCGCTCAATAATTTTCCTCAAAAACATGATTTTCATTTGAGTTCGACACAGTAAACACACACATAAAGAAGGAAAAACCACATATTACATTTCACTTTATAATCTCGGAGCCTTTCAGTGGCTCAGGCAGACGCATATAACATTTCATTTCCAGCAGCCGTTTACCAGTAAAAGCAAATTCACCGGAGCACAAGACATTAGCAGGGAGCAGGAATTAGCGGAGCAGAGGTCAAACCTTTCATATCCCTGAATTCCTGCCACCACAGGATGATTATGTAAAAGCAAAGACGAGGAAAATAAATTACATTTATGGCTTTTAGCAGCTTCAACATTTAGTCATGAATAGAGAAGAGGAAGAAAATGAAATGTTAATAACCTTTTAGCTTTAAATAAGCGTTTAGCCTTTACACACGAGGCTGCAGACGGATCAGTGTCGGTGTCACGATCTGATCGGACCGTCTCATGAGCTCATCGCCTCTCAACACGTCAGGATTCGTCACCGCGTCGGGTTCTCCTGTTCGATGTTTGTGTGGAGGAAAAACATCAACTCAAGGTCCACTTACTAGCTTTTCTTTGTTTTAGTTTTCAAATGCATCACATGGTCTTCATCAGCAGATGCTGTTGACGTGAAGCTCAGTAGCTTTTACAACAGATAAACCATCGCACTTCACTTCAGACCTGATGAAGACCATGCGATAGACCTGAAAGCTTTGGAAAAAGCTAATAAGTGGAGCTTGAGTTCTGTTTTTTTCTTTTCAAAGTCTCTTTCAAGTCTTTTCAAACACGTATTTTGCTCAAAATTTTTTAAGATTACAAGACAAAAAACTGCACATTTACTTAATTATTATTTAATGATTTATTTTTTATTTAAAGTTTTTCTTTTAATTTTAACCCCAGATCTTTTTGCTGAGGTGACAGTGTTATTTCTTTTTGTGGTGACAGTGTGATATAACACATATATATTTAATTATTTTAATTGATATAAAAAAAACATTTGAAGTTTATTAGTAGAGAATCGACAGAACAGACGTTTGTGACTGAGCTAAAGCAAAACAACAAGAAACCAAATATAAATGTTAAGGAATGACTGCACCCACCTTCTGACACCTTTTCCTGCTGCACGGCTCCTGATTGGCCAGGGAGGGCTGCGGGGGCGTGGCCTTGCTGCAGATGGAGTTGTAGGCGGACCGTAAGCGTTTACACGTCTCGTTGAGGTTGCATGCCTTCGCCGCATCCAGGCAGGGGTTACAGGGTTTCCCCGCTTCAGAGCAGGGGCTCATCTTGGACAAAGATGAATCTGAACGGAAAGAGATTTAATTAAATTTAGAGTCGTGGAAAGAGACAGAGACAGAGAGAAGAGACAGACAACAGAGACCAGACACCAGAAGACAGAGAGAGAGACAGACACAGAGACAGGACAGAGACAGCGGACAGACACAAGAGACAGGACCAGACACAGAGACAGGACAGACAACAAGAGACAGGGACAGAGACAGGGACGATACAGGAGGACAGGGACAGACACAGACATGACACAGAGACAGGGACAGACACAAGAGACAGACAGAGAGACAGGGACAGGACACCAGAGACAGGGACGCAGACAGACACATGAGACAGGACAGGACACAGAGACTCAAGCGGATACCTCAGACACAAGACACAACGGAGACAGGGACAGACACAGAGACAGGGACAGACACCAGGACAGGGACAAGTTACACAGACACACGATACAGGACAGACACAGAGGACAGGGACAGACACAGATTGACAGGGACAGACACAGGACAGGAGGACAGGACACAGAGAACAGACACAGAGACAGAGAGAGAACCAGAACGACACAGACAATCACAGAGACAGACACAGAGACAGAAAGAGAGACAGACACAACGACAGAGAGACATAAGCAGTGAAGCTACAGGCCCACACACAGAACCAACCACACTGCGACTTAAGATACAGACACAGAGTAGCGTAAGAGAGACCAGTGTTGAACACATGAGACCTACGGAGAGAGAGAGAGATCGAGACATCAGAAACACTAGAGACAGAGAACAGGGACCAGACCACAGAGACAGCACCACAGAGACAGACACAGAGACAGACAAGAGACAGGGACAGACACACCCAGAGAACAGAAGAGACAGACTTACGAGACGATCTATACAGAGTGACAGCGACACCAGAGGACACGACACGAGACAACTATCAGAGAACAGAGACAGGGACAGACACGGGACAGCAGAGAGTACAGGGACAGACACAGAGACAGAGACAGACACACGTCGAGACAGACAGACCAGACAAGGAGACGACTGACACAGCACAGAGAAACGCAGGACACGACAGGTCACGAGACAACACGACGCACACGGAGATCACCAGACAAGACAGGACAGTATACTCACAGCTATATTGTCGTATCTGAATGTCCATTGACTCCATGTGAATCTTTGATGAATAACTTTCGCTCGTCCTCATCTCTGACACCTCTGCGATCAACTCATATAGCTCAGTCTTCCTACTCGCTTCCGGGCTCGTGTTCATTATTATGTTCCTTCATTACCAGTCCCACTATCTGTGCATTAAAACGTGATCGTCTTATCTGCATGAATATCTCCTGTATGTGTCTTAATTGTTGACCTCCTCCCCGTATCAGGCTCTGGTGATCATGCCTGCAGCAGCTGCCCTCGCAGGGTAAGTAAAGTTCTGCTGAATTTAATAAATGTGAAGTGAAAACAAAACATCTTGAAAATCAATATTTATGGGAGTCCAGTAGGAGTTTAAACTGAGCTTTCCAAGCAGCATCACAATAAACAGACCCGGGGTGTAAAACCCAAGAGTCAAGAGAGCCAGCTTGCTGATGGTGGAAGCCGGACAAATGAGTTAAACCCGTTCGGTGATCCAGGTTCGTGTTTTGTTCAGACTCCATCGTGTCTCGGGTGTCACCCTCAGACTGTGGCACACTGCCGACCTGTGACCTGTGCGGTGTATCCCAGTGGAATTAAGTGTCTTGCATTTATAATCTCATTTACAGGCAGGGCAGTTGGAGCCAACTTGTTACGAGCACGAGGCAGGATAGTGACTTCACGACTGTTTAAATACCTGCACATGAGCAGACTCTTGAGCGCCCGAGTCAGTGAAGCTGTTGTCATTGTGATGGGGTGTTTTACTGATACAGGCCTGCAGTGAGGACGAGCTGATAACTCTTAAGTGGTTAAGTGGGCTGTAATTAACCCGACAGACACAGATGGAGGAATGTGTAATTACCCTCCATCCCCTTACAGTACATCACAAGCCAGACACATGTGGGTCAGCTTTCTGTCGAAGTGAGCTCATGTTGCTTACTCCTTAGAACACCTCAGTCGTGATATCACCGTAACTGCCTGCTGTCATAAATCTCAGTGCATCGTTTCTCATGCCCATCCAAATACAAAGAGTAAGACGCGAGGCTGTACCCTCACAGAGATAACATTCACCATGTAGGCCACAGCAGGACATGTCTATTCCAAGATCGTCTGAGCAGCAGGTGTTTTATGACATCCATAGTTAGGTTTTTGTTGCTAGGCGACATCTAGCTGTCATAGTGATTGATGACAGGAGCGAAGGGGAAAGAGTCCGCCTTCTACAACAGCTCGTATTGTAAATCAGTATATAATATCTCTATCTTCTATTTCCATCAGGTTTATTCATTTCGAGTTATCATCAGTATATCAGTTTAATTTCAGATCACGTTTAAATCTTCAGTTTATCATCAGTTTATTTTCTCTCAGTTCTCAGTTTATCATCAGTTATTATCAATCAGTTTATCATCAGTTTATCTTCAGTTTATCATCGTTTATCTTCAGTATATCATGAGTTTATCTTCAGTTTATTCTTCAGTTATCATAGTTTATACTTCAGTTTATCTTCAGTTTGATTTAGGTAATCTCAGTTTATCTATCAGTTATCTTCAGTAAATCATCCCTAAGTTTATCCTCAGGTTTATCTTTTCAGTATTCATGAGTTTATCTTTCCAGTTTATCTTCCTCTCTAATCTTCAGTTTTCATCAGTTTATCTTCAGTAACATCATCAGGTTTATCTTCAGTTTATCTTCAGTTTATCATCAGTTTTAATCTTTTCCAGAGTTATCATCCAGTATCATCAGTTTATCATCTTCACAGTTTATCTTCAGTTATTATCACTCAGTCTTTATTTCAGTTCTATATCATGAGTTTATGTTCAGTATTTATCCTTCACTATAATCATGGGAGTTTATTCTTTCAGTTTATCCTTCAGTTTAATCTTCAGTTATGCAATCAGTTTATCTTTCAGTAGATCATTCAGTTTATCTTCACGTTTTATTGCAGTATGAATTCGATGAGTTGTATCTTTCTGATTTTTATTTTCAGCTCTCTCATGAGTTTATTCTCAGTTTATCTTCAGTTTATCCTTCAGTTTAATCATCAGTTTTATCTTAGCCGTAATATCATTCAGTTTATCTTCAGTCTTTAATCTTCCAGCTTTATCATCCAAATTGGTAGTATAGATAAACAATACAATATTTACCAGAGTTTTCTTCAGTAAAATCCCATCCCAGTTTAATCTTTAAGTTTTATCCTTTGTGCCTGTGTGTTTATCAGCGTTCTGGTATCAGTCCCCCTATGATGTGGTGACCCAGGAAGCCCAAGCCAGTTGGCAAACATTCACTCAATGAAAGGGGTCACAGATGGAGGCATCACTTAGATGGTGATGTCACAGGCATGTTCGATTTATACTGTATAGGGTTGGCTGCACCAGAAGATCCACATCACGATGCTGAAACCTCTATCAGAACTCAGATGCACAATCGCACAGAGCACAGTGATTACACTCTGAATCTGACAGCGCTACAATTTAAGCATCCACTAAATATCACTCCAGAGACTTGAATGAGATGCGTTGTTGTCCTGCCCACTTTACTTCTCAATGAGGCACCTCAGAGGTCTCAGAGAGGGAGGCCAGCCTTCTCCTCCTCTCCTGCACCACTGCAACCTCACAAACGACCGATCATTAACTATTAGTATATAATAATGGCCATCATGTTCTACAAGCCCATGGGTCTCATCATGCATGTTGTGTAATCTTCTACTCTCTCTTCT